GGCGCAGGGAGGGCAGGGTTAGGCGTCACCCCGCCCGGCTGCACCTGGCCGCCTGACTGCTGGGAACGCGGTGGGATGCTGGGCGGGACCTGGGGAAAGGCCCCGTGGGGCCGGGGGTGGGGGGGGCTTGTGGGCGAAGAGGGTGTGTGCAGCCTCCGGGGACCCCGTGTGCCCTTTCTACCTGGTACGTGGCCGTGGGCACTCTGCTCCGTTTCCCCACCTGTCACCCTCCTGTTTCCTTCCTGCTGGGGGGCCCGAGGCTGGCAGGGGAAGCCCCGTTTTGTCCTTCCCTATCACTCAGTGTACGTCCCAGCCCTGTCCTTTGGCGGCAGCGCACCTAGGGACCAGGACACCGTTGTATGCCTCGGTTTCCCCGGCAGACACTGGGGGGCACGTAGCAGGTGGAGGCCGGGCCCTGCAGGGTGACCTGCCCGCTCTCTGCTCATCCACAGGCACCGTCTGTGTCCTGCTGTCCTTCCCCTTCATCTTCAGCCCGTGCCTGGGCTGCGGGCCAGCCACCCCCGAGTGGGCCGCCCTCCTCTACTACGGGCCTTTCATTGTCATCTTCCAGTTCGGCTGGGCCGCCACGCAGATCGCCCACCTCAGCCTCATCCCGGAGCTCGCCACCAATGACCACGAGAAGGTGGAGCTCACGGCCCTCAGGTACGCGCCAGGCCGGGCCGCTTAGCCGTGTTTTCTTTCTTTAAGGTTGATTTATTAGAGAGTGTGGGGGGAGGGGGAGAGGGAGGGAATCTCACAGCCTCGACCCTGTCCTTGCGACTTGAGCTGAGCCGATATCACCGGTGGACGCTCGACCGAGGCGCCTCCCCACTTAGCTGGGCTGGTGGTCTGTCCGGAGGCTTCCATCAGGGCACTGGCTGGGGCTGGGGCCTCCGCCGAGGCTTAGGGTCTTCTGAGGATCTCCTGATTAGGTCTGGCTCACCCAGGATAACTTCCCTTTACCTTTGTCACCAAACACTGCTTCATCGTGGGAGCGACGTCCCATATTCACAGGCCCCCTCCCCAAGGGGAGGGACTAGGTGGGGTGGGACAGGGCCATCTTGGCATCCTGGCTGCCACACGTGCATACAGCTGCTCATCTGTCGACTTGCTTGGGGCACTAATGGAGGTTCTCCTGGATACGGTGCTAACAGGAGCATTTATGAAGCGCTTGCTGTGTGCAGGCACAGATCCAGGCCATTAACCTGCATTATCTTTAATCTTCCTAGAGGGTCACATGCCCCCGCGAGGGTGTGGGCAGGGCATGTCCCTGGGGGAGGGCCGCAGCAGGAGAGGCTGGCAAGGATGGAGTTGCAGGGAGAGGGCCGGCACCGGGGGCGGCGGCCGGTGTGGCTGGAGCTCAGGGAAGGGCTGGCCGCCTCGAGGGCACCTGCTATGTGGTAGCATCTTTGAGGGCCTCGCTCTGCCACCTCGGCCCGTTTGGCCCCCAGCGCTGCCAGCCTGGCTTCCTCCCAACCCCGCCGTTGAGTTCCGCATTCGGGGTTGCCCAATGCTCAGGCCCCGAGGGCCCCAGCCGGCAGGACGGGTGGTGCTGAGACCGGGCTCTGGGGCGCCTCCTACCTGCAGGCGCTTTCCTACCAGCCTTGCGGCCTCTTCACTCTGATCCCTGGGGTATTCTTGTTCTTACTTTCAGAAAGGGAAACTGAGTCCTGGTGTGAACTCCGGGGGCTCTGCCCCCACACCCCCAGCCCTCGGAGGGATGCTGCTCTATGGCTATAGGCAGGAGGGGCCCCACATGCTCCGAGACCATGGAGCCCCGGCCCCGTCCAGGCCCAGGATCTGGGAACCCATCCCAGTCCCCTTCTGAGCATCTCAGGTCTTGGCCGCATCAGTCCCGGCCTGGGCAGCGGGACGCACAGCAGAGTCGTGCGTCCGATGTCCGTCATCAGATGGTGTGGGGCCAAGGCCTTCCCGGCCACGTGCTGAAGCCTCGCCCGCCTGCGCAGGTATGCCTTCACCGTGGTGGCCAACATCACCGTGTACGCTGCCGCCTGGTTCCTGCTCCACCTGCAGGGCTCTCCGAACGTGGAGATGGCCCGGGATGCCAGTGACCAGCTGGGGATCCAGGACGTGCAGGTGTTCCAGGTGAGCCGGGCCCGGGAGGGACGCCCCGGTGGCCCCGAACCTGGGGCCCGGGCTGAGAGCGCTGCCGCTGACCCCTGTCCCGCCTGGCCTCCAGAACCTCTCCCTGTTGGTGATAGGAGTTGGAGCCGTCTTCTCGCTGCTGTTCCACCTGGGCACCAGGGAGGGGCGCCGGCCTCAGGTGGAGGAGCCGGACGAGAACCGCCCGCTGCTGGCGCCCACTACTGCCCGGCCCCTGCTGCTCTGGAGACACTGGCTGCGGGAGCCGGCCTTCTATCAGGTGTGCTGGGGGGGGGGGGCACGGGGGCCCACCGTCCCTCCGCCGTCCTCCACCGTCCTCCACCGCCACGGTGCTCCCGGAGGCCCCACGTCCCCGCCCGCCGGGGACAGAGGCGGCCCGACCCGAGCCCTCGCCCGCCCGCCCGCAGGTGGGCCTGCTGTACATGAGCACGAGGCTCATCGTGAACCTGTCGCAGACGTACATAGCCATGTACCTCACCTACTCGCTCAGCCTGCCCAAGGTGAGCTGGGCGGGGCGGGGCGGGGCGGGGCGGGGGGGCCCTGGGCGCACAGGGCGGCGGGGCCCTCGCTGATGAGCCCACGCTCGCTCTGCCCCCGCAGAAGTTCATCGCCACCATCCCGCTGGTGATGTACCTCAGTGGCTTCTGCTCGTCCTTCCTCATGAAGCCCGTCAACAAGTGCATCGGGAGGAACGTGAGTGGGCAGGGCTGCGGGCGGGGGGCCGGGAGGACCCCACAGCCGAGCGCCGGCACCCCGAGGGAGCTCGAGCACCCCGCGCCACGCGGGGCGCCGCTGGTGGGGCGGGGGGACCTGAGCCCGGCCAGCGCGGTTCGGGACCTCGACGTTGCGCCGTGTTGAGATTTGTATCGATCTGCGTGTGGCTGCAGCCGGCTCCGTGGCGCTTGGCACCCCGGCCTCACGCCCTCCGAGCCAGGGGTGCTCGCAGACAGGGCGGGCTGGCGCCCCGCGGTGACGGGCTCTGACGCCGGCCGCTCCCCCGCAGCTGACCTACTTTACGGGCCTCCTGGTGATCCTGGCTTTCGCGGCCTGGGTGGCGCTGGCGGACAGGCTGGGCATGGCCGTGTACGCAGCGGCGGTGCTGCTCGGCACGGGCTGCGCCACCATCCTCGTCACCTCACTGGCCATGACGGCCGACCTCATCGGCCCCCACACGGTGAGGCTGATGGTGTGGGCGGGGGGCTGGGGGCCGGGGCCGGGGCCGGGCGGCTGACCTCCCTGCTCGTGTACCCCAGCACAGCGGAGCCTTCGTGTACGGCGCCATGAGCTTCTCGGATAAAGTGGCCAACGGGCTGGCGGTCATGGCCATCCAGAGCCTGTATCCCTGCTCGTGAGTGCCATCCGCTCATCTGCTCACTTAGTAAGAGTGTGCTGCGCGCGCTGGCGCCGGCCCCCTCCAGGTCTGCGGGTTCGGCCCCGACGAAAGACCTGCTCGCTCCTTACCTGTGGCACCTGGCCGGGCTGCTCGGCAAGCGCTGTGTCTGTCGTGTGCCTGGGACACAGCGTACGCCCGCACTGGGGGAGTGGGGGTGGGCAGGGCTGGGCAAAGCCAGAGCCTGTGTTCAGACCCTCAGAACCTAGGGTTCCAGACCCAGATGGTTCTAGACTACTGAGTTGGAGCCTCGTAGGAGCCTAGGATCTGGGAACAGAAACTCATCCCTCAGTCCTCACAGACCTGGGGCAACGCCAGCCGCTTTAATAAGCATATAACTGTTATCTAGACCGGTGGCACGGGGGTGTAGAAAACATCACTTATGGAGGCCTGCCTGGGGCAAGAGGTCAGGGAGGGCTTCCTTGAGGAGGTGACATTGGACCTGAGACCGGTCAGGGAGTTCCAGGCAAACACGCAGCAGCCACCAGTGCAAAGGTCCCGGGGCAGGACTGGGCTTGGCATTGGCAGGGAGGCCCCCGTGGCTAAAGGGGACAGGGCAGGTGTGCAAGGCCTGGGGGAGGGGGGCTGAGGGGGGTGGGAGCCCTCTGGTGGCCACTGTGGGGAGAACCCAGAGGAGGGGACTGGTGGTCTAGGCGGGCGATGATGGGGCTAGACCTGCAGGAGGCGCACGCTGGGAGGACTGGGCAGGAGGCCGGACAGCTGGCGACTCACCTGCGTCTGCCTTCCCCTCCCCCTCCCCCTAGCTTGGAGATTTGCTGCAGGGCCTGCATGGGCTTCTACCGCTGGGTGATGGTGGCCGCCACCGGCGGTGTGGGCGTGGCCGCCACCCTCTGTCTGTGCAGTCTCCTCATCTGGCCCATCCGCCTGCGGAGCTGTGAGTCCTCCCCGCCGTGCCCCCACTGGCCACGGGCTGCAGGGCTGGGCCAGGGGCGGGCCCTGCCCTCCCTGACCCCCCCCCACTCCTTTCTCTTGCAGGGGACCCTGGAGCCCAGCCCTGACACCCCACGGTGTCCCTGTCCTGTGCACATGCACGGTGCCCAGCTGAGGCCAGGAGCAGCCCCGTGCCACCCCGGCTGCCATCCCTGCTCCTCCATCCTTGCCTGGGCCTAAGGGCACCAGGGCAGGTGGTCAGGATCCCACTGAGCTCGGCCCTCTGGGACCCGGGGCTGTGCCCAGTTCACCCCTCACCGTGGGGTGTCCCACATGCTGCCAGGTCCCTCGATAACGGCGTGGTCACAGAGCTGGACTGGAGCCTCGGGCAGAGGTGGGAGGAGCAGGTCCCCTGCCCTGTGCCCAGGCCGCTGCTGACCACGAATAAAGAGCCACCCGTGGGTGAGGACTGTGGCCTCAGCTGTCTGCCTGGAGCCCAGAGTGGGGAGAGGGCAGCTGGTGGGTCCCAGAGTCTTGGTCACCAGGGTCTTGGTTAGTAGCTCCATTTATCTGGCTGCCACTGGACCCCCCCCCCCGCCCCGTCCTCCCCACCACCCCAGTCCAGGGGGCAGATGCACAGGAGCGGGCTGGGGAGGGCTAGAGGCGCTGGGGTCCCTGTAGAGGGTGGCATCAGGCAGCATGAACTTTATCAGTGGATGGGTGTGTAGATGGGCGGGGGCCGCTGGTTGGTGGAGGGGCAGTAAGGCTCCAGGTCCCACTGCCGGTAGTTCTGGGTGGTGTAGCGCGGGCGCTGAGGCACCGACAGGTACGGCACATAGTCAGAGGCCGGCCCTGGTGGCTCCACCCCGTACCGGTGTCTGTTGAGCACTGTGGGGCCAGGACCCAGGTCACCTCCTGTCCCCTGGGCCGTGTGAACCCCAGCCCAGGTGGCCCAGCTCCCTCCGGCTGCCTCCACCCCCTCCTCACCGTATTCCTTGCCCCGGATGGGCCTGTCTTTCCAGAGCATGCTCCCCCACTGCGTGCTGGGGGCCCTGTACTGGGCAGGGATGATGGGGTCATGCCACGCGGTCTCCCGGAGGCACTGGGTATAGGCTGTGGGGGGAGGGGGCGGGAGGTCGTCTCTGGCCCTTGCCCCGTCCCCCCCTCCCCCGGGCCTGGCCTGGGGCTGGGGGCAGGCAGGGCTGAGCACTCACCCGAGGGCATGCTTCGCTCCCGGTGGCTGTGACATCCGTGCCAGCGGGCATAGGCCTCCCGGTATGGGCTGTCCGGGGCCCGCGGGAGCGTGTACCAGGCCTCGCGGGAGTCCGAGTTGGTTAGGCCGGTGTACCACAGCTGGCCGGCCGCGTCACGTCCCAGGGGTGTGTACTTCCAGCGTGTTGCCTGCTTGATGGCCGGTGCCCAGCGGGGCCCCTCCAGGGACAGGTAGTCCTCACTAGGGGGTGAAGGCAGGGGGCAGGAGATAGAGGCTGAGCCTGTGGCCCTGCCCTGCATTGTAGGCACGCACACCGGGCTGGGGGGCGGTGCTGAGCCCTGCAGCCCCCTCTCCTCTCCAGCCCTCCAGGACCCTCCCTAAACCTTTTCCTATTTTAGTGTTTTTGGCCTGTCCTCCCCACCCCATCCCGGGGACACGGGATGGCAGGGGGAGCCCCTGTGCCAGGCGGCCTCTGCTGCCAGAGCCTGTCTGAGGCTGAGCATTAGGATGGCTTCCCTGACGAGGGGGATGTACAGAGGCCCTGGGGCACAGGGAACGGTGTAAGGAACGGGGACACAGGCCAGAGCTGGACTGTAAAGGTTGAGGGACCCCCCTGCTGGTGCAGTTGGGGTGGGGAGCTTGTGACTCCTCATCTCGGGGGTTGTGAGGTCAAGCCCTGTGTTGGGTGTAAAAATGACTTAAAAATAAAATAACTAAACATCGAATTTCAATGTGGTAACATTAAAAACAAAAGCAGACGAAACCCAAAAAGTGGAAAAAAAAAAAACCACAAAGCGAAAGACCCCTTCAAAGCTGCTGAGGCTGCAGGGAATCTCGTCTGGCAGCACCGCCGCCCAGGCCCAGGGCGAGGACGAGCCGGGCCTTGGCCCCGGGCTTCTCCCTGCATCCTGTTCTCGCCCCTCGGGACAGGGTCACATCACGGACTAGAAACCCACCCGTCTGCTCGCGGGTGGGACAAGCCTGGTGGGTTTGGGGACCTGACAGGAGACAGGGTTTGCTGCTCAAAGGGCAGCTTCGGGGTCGCCTTGGGAACCCTGCCCCGTGAGCTCAACACTTCACAACTGAGGTGCAGTGACAGCCAGCAGGTCTCTGTCAAATGTCGATGTAACAGATGAAGAGCACGTTGGAGCTGGGGAGAACCTCAAGCGAATGCCACCCTGGCCCACAACCCAGAGCCTTCCTGCCACTGGAAAGAGGTGACGGAACAGCCTGCCCTCGCTAACCCTACCCCTTGCCGCGGCCCCCGCGCCTGGGCTTCCGGCAAGTTCTGTGCCTGCTCTCGAGTGGGCGCCCCCGTCTGCACAGGCGCGCAGTAGTGGGGCGGCCCAGGGGCACTACCCCCTCCCCTGGGTGGGAAGGGCCCCCCAAGTCCACGTCCGGCTGGTGTCTCAGAGCCACCCCGCTGGGAAGCAGGGTCCCAGCAGACACCATTGCTAAGCTGCGGGCACCTGGGGCCGGCCCCACCTGTGTGCAGGGCCTGGTGTCCTTGGACAGGGGAGCTTGGACACTGAGGACTGTGTTGCCAGGGCAGAGACTGGGGGGGATGCATCCCCAGGGGGCACCAAGGACTGCCAGGGAGGCACAGTGGAGCTGCTGCACTAGGCCCTGGAGGAACTGGCCTGCGGACCAGCTGGTCTCGGACTGCTGGCTTCCAGAACCAGGAGAGACACCTCTCTGGCTTCAGCCCCCAGCCTGGCGGTGTGTGCAGGCCGCTGCAGGAGGCTCCCGGAGAGCCAGTCCATTCTGCCGGCCCTGCCTGTACCCCCGGGGAGCGGCCAGGCTGGGACAGGGCAAGGGCTCAGCACCGACGGGCCTTGACTGGAGTCAGTGACACTCAAGAACATCAGGCCTGACACACAGCGGTGGCGCATGGGGCCGTGTGGGCACTCACCTGGACAGCAGTGCTGGGAAGTCGGCTTCGAGGGTCCCCCGGGGGACGTAGGGCCGGGCTGCCTCCCGCCGTAGGGTCTGCATGTCTGCCTCTGGGTCCCCAGGGGCTCAAGCCTGCAAGGCCTGTAGGGCCATTGTTGACAGTGATAAAGGCCACCCTCGGTGTCCTGGCAACGCTACTGGCCAGCACTGGCCCCCATCCAGTCTGCTCCTCCCTCCCCCAGTGGAGGGGGCTGGGCCGGGAGGGCCAGGTGAGAGGAGGCGCGTGCCTGGTGGGGTGGGGGGGTCTGTCCAGGAGCGAGCTGCTGGCCCTGAGGCCCCGGCTCCCTGTGCGAGACCTTGGGCTCCCACCTCCTCGGCTCCGGGCTATGCCCCAGGCGCACCCTTCCAGAGCTCCCACTGGGACCCCAGCTTCCGCCCCCCTTCCTCGGGCCCTGTCCCTCATCTGCTTCTGCGACACTCAGCAAGATCCCCGGGCAGGCACGCACAGCAGCCCCATGCACAGTCCTCAATTGCATGACGACACAGACCATGTGTCCACCCACACGCACTGCCCGAGGGACGGACCCTGAGCCCACGACGCTCGGGGAGGGAACCAGACATGAGGCCACACGGTGTATGAGTCCATTTATGTGACACGTCCAGGATGGGCTCCTCCACGGATGGAAAGGGGGCTAGGGGCGGGGACGGGGATGCTTCTGGGGTGGTGGAATGTTTTGGAGCTAGAGATGGGGGCAGCACAACTTCATGAATGTAGTAAAAACCACGGAATTACACACTTTCAGATGGTAAACTGTATGTTATGCATATTTACCACAGTAATGAAAAATAGAACGAGAACCGCAAGACCTGCCTGCCCCCTCCCACCCGCTCCTGGCTGCCTGCGCAGCGCCTCCTGCCGGCCCCACGCCGGCCCTGCTGTCCGAGGGGTGGAAGCCCACACCCTCCCCATGGCCTGGTCCCCACTGCCCGGACAGGGCTCCTCACCTAGAGGGAAGGGCCTCTGGGTGCTGTGCCACATGTGGGCAGCTGCTCACTGTAGGGGGCTCATCCCTCTTCCCAAGACCCCCCGGGGCTCCCTGACCTGCCAGGTCCTGCCCGGAGTCACCTCCCCTCTGGCCTGGGCTGGCTTTCCTCCAGAGACACAAAACCTGCTGCTCCCTCCCCTTGACCACATCCAAATCCCTCTTCTATGATCCTCTCGTCAGCCCCCGCACCGGCCGCTCCGTGCCCCCCCCCCATGGCCTGTGCCTCACCCCCTACTACTACTAAATCCCATTCCCTTCACTGCAAAAGCTACATTCACAGATCAACAGAAACCAACCTTGCTCGTTGCTCTCAGCCTCCACCCCTGTGGGAGATGCTGGGCCAGGGAGATCCCACACTGGCCTCCGTTTCCCTGTGTAGGGTGGAGATGGTCAGAGCACCTGTCTCACCTGAGAGCTGCTGTGCGGCCCCCTCACCCCGTCCTCATCTGCTCCTTCGCCCCAGCCCTCCCTCGACCCCACCGTGACCAGCCCCTGCACACACAGACCACTACTCTGGCCCATTCTCCTTCCAGATGGTAACCAGGGCTGAGTGCCTCTTCCCCACGGCGGGGCTGCACCCTGGCTGGGCCACACCCACGTCCTCAGCCCCCGGGGACCCTGAATTCGGGGTCACCAGCACCTCTTACAGACTACAGGTGAGTCTTCTCCATTGCCGGCTCACCCAGGGTAAGCCACCTGCGCCATCTGTGACATCTAGACACCCCGGCCGAGGACCAGACAGACAAGACAGATGGACAGCCAGCCCTAGCAGTGCATGAACCCACGACTGGTTTAATGACAACGATGCTGCACTTCACAAGAACAAGGCTAGCTCTGCACCAGGCGCCCCTCCGTCCCCAGCCCCTGCACTTAGCCCCACACACACTTGCGGCTGCAGACACACTTTGCGCCCCTCTCTCTATCCCAAGGCCCAGGCCCAGTCCACAGGCTGGGGGGCACACAGTCATGAGCACGGCCAGCTCCAGGGCTCTGGCAACTGCACGAGGTGAGGGCGTGGCAGAGTCAGGATTGTTTTCTTAAAAAAAAAAAAACACTCAAAGAACGACCAATCAAAATACACACATCTATGTACACTGTCCCTTGTCGTCCCTGCGGCAGGCAGATCAGGGCTGGGGAGGAGGGGTCCCTTCCCCAAGTTCAGGCAGGTTTGGCTGATCGGGAGCTGTGAGCGCTGTCCCTCCCGACCCCCCAGTGGGTAGTGGGTGAGCCACCGCTCCTACCCCACCAGGCTTAAATTTTCTGGGACTGATCTACAAACAAACAAACAAACAAACCCAAAGAAAAATCACAAGTACATATATACACGTGCACACACATGGCCACGGGGACCTGGAGGGGCTCCGTGCAGGCCTCCCTGGCTCTGCAGGACCCACCTCGCCCAGGCCTGCTCCACCCCGTCTGCTCCATCAGCACCCCTTGATCTGAGGCGTGGGGGGGGGGGGATGCTCACAACCTTGGCCACGCCCAGGCTCTCCCTTCCTCCATTTCTCCTGGTCTGGAGATAAGGCAGGAGTGGATGGGCCCATGGGGCAGCTGGACAGAGCAGATGGCCATGAGGCAGGCTGGGGGAAGCTCAGGAAGTATCTGGAAGGACCTATGGGTGCCTCCTCCCCTGCCTGCCCCAAGGCCAATGGCACCAATGGCAGGACCCAACCAGGGGGCCTAGGGTGTGGCAAGGGGCTAGGGAGGAGGGCCAGATGCCCACAGGAACCCTCTTAGGGTCGAGTCTGCCCTTGGGTTACCCTGACTGGCTGCCCAGCAAGCCGCGAGAACCCGAGTCCTGCTTGGGGACAAAACAGGGCTGTGACCCCCGTTAGTAACAAGGACAGTGCAGGGTCAGGGTAAACACAAGATAGCCGATGGACCTGACTCGTTTTCCTCAGACAAGTCCATCTCAAGATGACGTCCTTCGGCACGGAGACTGCCCAGGGCCTGCTCCTGACGTGGTGCCTCTGGAAGAGTCAGCGGCGTGGCTGCCGGGGCAAGGACAGCAGGACCAGCCGCAGAGAAACCTATCAGGTGGCTCTGTCCCTTCGATCCATGTGCTGACCTCGGCAGTCTGCCCAGCCCCAGGGGTCTGTCCTGTAGGCATGAGTGGTGGTGGTGGTGGTGGCGTCGGCAGTGGCAGTGAGCACGTGCTTCTGGGAAGAGCATGCAGCCCCGACGATGCAGCGGCGGACGCAGATGGAAGCAGGCTGGGTCCCAGGAAGTGTCCATCGTGCTCCGAGCACAGCAGCCAAACAGATGGTCCCTGCTGGGGCCACCCAGGATGGAGGGAGCCGGGCCCCCTCCTGCTGGTGCCCGGCCACGTCCCCGCCCCAAACACCGGCTGCCAGGGTTCGCAATCAGGCTTTAATGAGAATCTTCGGGGTCTCTCCAGGCCCGACTCCCCGCCCGCCCCCTCTGGGGACCGTGAGCTGGGGAGGGGAGGGTCCATGCACGCCGACGAGAGGTGGTACTCTTCCGACTCGGACGGAGGCCCGAGGGTTTACCGGATCCTGGTGAAGAGGTTGAGCACTGACACGGATTCCTGCGGGGCACAAAGGAGGCACCGCTGAGCCTGTGGCCCTTGGGTGGCCTCCCTGTAATCGCGGGCCACTCAGCCAGGCCACCCGGGCCAGGCGCCAGGCAGCAGGGGGGTGGGAAAAACCTCTGCCTGGAGGGCATGCGGGGCTTCGGGCACAGGGGCCTGCGGGCACCGTTCCCAGGACCCCCAGGTTCCCAGGACTCCCGAGCACCTGGTACCACGTGGCTGGGGCTGCTCGGCGATGGGGAGCAGAGAGAGAGGGGACCCCAGGGAGAGTGCAGCTGACAGGGTAAACAGGGCTGGTCAGGCGGCGGGGCGAGGGGGAGCCCCTAGGACTGAGGCTGAGGGGACGCGCGTGGGGGAACATCTGGCACTGATACCGACCCACTTTACCTTTGTCGAACGGGTTTTGCTAAAGACGTTCCAGAACCTCAGTGTTTCGTCCCCAGCACCAGTGACTATGGCCTCTCCATCGGGGGACATGGCCTGTGGAAGGAGACAGACCCTTCCTCATCCTTTTGTCCTGCAGACACCCCTCCTTGGACAAAGCTACCGGAATGGAGCAGAGGGGTGCAGGGCTCAAGGGGGTGGGCCCCACCGAGGCTGCATGACAGAGCGAGGTTGGAGCATCCTGGTAAAAATGCAAGGCCATCCCCCACCCACTGCAAGGAGACACAGTCTGTTCTGTACAATCAGACAAACGATATATTGGTTTAAACACAAAACATTTTCTTCTGAGAAGAAAAAAACAACGGGGCACATCTGGAGAGAGTGGTCCTTTCTCCAAGCCCGATCAAACGGTGGTCTGGTGAAATGTCCAGAGAGCAGCTGAGCACTCGGACCCGGGTTATCCACAGAGACTCCTTCCGTGCGTGTGCACACACACAGATGAGTGGAGGAAGGCAGGGGTGTGGAAAACAGATTCCAGGTGGTGGGACAACCTGGCCTTTACAGATGTCCCCTACTGCAGTCCTGGAGGCCGCCCAGGCCGGGGGATGCTGAGGCAGGGCTGCACAATGCCTCTCAGGCACATGGGGCAGTGCTGTTCTTCCAGAACCCGGTCAGGGCAGACTCACCAGGTACAGGACCCTGTACGAGTGTCCGGTCAGCTTTGCCACCTGGGTCAGGGAGGGGTACTTCCAGACCAGGATCTGGTTCTGCGAATAGCCGTGCGTGCTCACCTGGGGGCAGAGAAGGCACTGTCAGAACCCAGGCCCCCCTTCGGTGGCCCCGGGGCTCAGATGCAAGCAGTGTGACGCTCCCACCAGGCAGCGAGGCTGCCGGAGCCTGCGTGTCAGGCTCACCAAGCGAGAGGCCACAAGGGACAGCCCTTGCTCCCTGCACTCTGGCTGACAGGCTGGATTTGACCAGAGCCACACAGCGCCTGAGAGCTCTGTGAACCTCTCCAGTGCGCGCTGGGCGGGAGGGCCTGCGTCCGGAATGGGCACATCCAGACATTCCAGTCTTCCAAGACATGGGGGGCAGGCGCCCGGCCAAACCTCAGGACCCTAGGGGAAGCCTTGACTGGGCCAGGGCTCCCACGCAGCCCCCACGCCTGCACACCCAGGGTCCTTTGCCCCTGCCTCTTCACTGAGGGACCCTGACGGCTTTCTACCGAGGTGGGACGCATGCATGCTCCTGCCCGCAGGCCCTACCCAGCCCCACACTCACCAGCTCGTTGGCGTGCTTTGACCAGGCGAGGTTGCACACCTGGGAGCCTGTGTCGATGCACTGCAGCGGCTGCCCTGTGAGTGTGTTCCAGAAGCGGATGCAGCGGTCAGCTGTGCCGCCTCCAGATGCCAGCAGCCCATGCTGGTGTGGGGACCAGGCGATGGCCTTCACAGCCGCCAGATGCTCCGTGTACTGCTGCACGGGGCTCAGGCTGGAGTGGTTCCAGACCAGCAGCTGCGGAGGCAGTGGCAGTGAGACCTCTGAGCTTGTCTCAGCACCCCTGCACCCCGAAACACCTGTGGTGGAAGGGACAGGCCGCAGGCCAGGATGGCAGGGGGCCCGCGGTGCCTACCTTGTTGTCGTTGCCCCCTGAGGCGAGGAGCTGGTGGTCCGTGGACCACTTGAGTCCGCACACCTCCTGGCGGTGGCCCTGCAGTCGCCGCTCTGACTGCAGGGGCGGGGTCCGGATGTCCCTCTGCAGAATCATGCGGTCCCGGCTCCCAGATGAGAGCTGGTCAGCGTTCCAGGCCAGTGCCCCTAGAGGCCAGACAGAGGGCAAGGGAGGCTGAGGCTTTGCCCACCAGAATCACACCTGTCCCCTGGGAACTGAGCGGCTCCTCACCAACGCGTGCCGTGTGGCCTTCCAGCATGGACAGCTTCTTCCCTGCGGCTGCATCCCAGATCTGCACAAAACCCTTGTGTGTGCCCACAGCCACCAGGTTCCCCTAAGACCAATCACATGGGGAGGGAGCAGACATCAGGCCCCGCATGGGGACCTCTCCCTCACCCTCCTTGCTGCAGGGCCTTGAGGCCATATCTTTGCAAGTTTCTTTGGGCCAAAAGGCTACCTCTCCTTGGAAACCTCTAGGAAGATGGTCACACCAACACACAGGTTTGTTAAAATCCAGCTAACAGGGGATCCCTGGGTGGCGCAGCGGTTTGGCGCCTGCCTTTGGCCCAGGGCGCGATCCTGGAGACCCCGGATCGAATCCCACGTTGGGCTCCCGGTGCATGGAGCCCGCTTCTCCCTCTGCCTGTGTCTCTGTCTCTCTCTCTCTGTGTGTGACTATCATAAATAAATAAAAATTAAAAAAAATAAAATCCAGCTAACAGACACACTAATTATCTGCGCTTCAATGTGCGGCTGCCGCACCAGCTGTGGAGGCAAGGGGGAGCCACCTGCAGGGGATTGAGTGTGACCCAGGGTCTCTGCGGAGGAGCCCTACAACTGTAACCATCTTTCTCAGGCTGGGGACAGGCAGGGGTGCCGATGCCACTCCTGGAGCTTAAACGAGTGACCTCCAGCCTGGGTTCTGACTCCTGTGGGTCTCTGAAGCCCTCCCAGCACTGTGAAGGGCCCCTACCAGTGAGACCAGGTCAGATCTCCCCTGTGCCAGCCCTGCCCAGCCGGGGGACGGGGCCTGTGTACTGACCCGTTCAGACCAGCCCACAGACGTCACTGAGTCCCCTTCCACTGAGAGGTCACAGAGCCGGGTCACCTAGGCAAAGGGGACATGGTCAGTGTGAGTGGACATACTGCCCACTGGGCCTCCGGGAACCCCCTCACCATCTGTTCAACCAACCCCCCCCCCCGTCCATCCCCCAAACATTTGCTCAGGCCTGTGGGCCCTGGTGTCAGCGCTGAGACGCAGGGTAACACAGCCGGAGTGCTCAGGAGGCTGCACGCTGGGAGGGGACACACAGCAGCACAGACCTAGAGGAGGGGCGCCCGGGTGACAAAGCACCATGTCATGGGTGCAGGGCACCAGCTGCTGTGGGCAGAGGAAGGGTGGTCCTCTCTCTGGGGCGGCTTCACTTGCCTCCTTGGAACCCACTTGCATTCAGTTTTACTCCTGACAACAGCCCACTCCAAAGAGCAGCGGCCCTAAACCCCAGCTGCCACTCGGAGAGACCCGCTGCCAGGGTAGGTGGGTGGACCGCCACCAGGGACATGGCCCCCTCGGCTGTCCCCAGGCTGCACCTCTCCCGCTGACACAGGCGGAGGCCGACTGAGACCCCCACTGCCCCCCCAGCACATGCTCCCTAAGCAGGGCCACCTGGCTGGTGCAAGCGCTCCACAGGTACACGCAGGTCCCCAGCCCCACGCTGAGCACATTGAGGGATGACCAGTCCACCAGGTTCAGGTAGAAGTCGTCCTGCAGCTCCGGGGCATCCAGGACCTTGAAGGGGATCTTGGAGATCTTGCGTGTAGGTTTCCGTGGCGACCGCAGTAGCTTCTGACTACAGAGAGATAGAGGCCCCCCTCGTGGGTCTGTGCTGGTGTAACCTAAGGCAACCACGGTCTCCTCCCCATTCTGCAGCCCTAGAAGCCGTAGGCTCCCTCTCAGGGTCTCCTACTCACCGGGCCCTGACTCCGGCCGCCCACGCGATCCCAGGCTACGTATGACCCAGTGGCCACCAACCTCTCCACCATCAGATGTTTGGCCACCTGGAGCTCTGACAGCCACATCATGCCCTTCTGCCTGGCACATCCTCTGGGGAGCCCTCCCTGACTCCCTTCTGGGTGCAATGCCACGGAGTCTGTGCTGCATCCTCAATGTGGGAGGTGCCCCGGGCCACCGCTGTACCCTGAGCCCAGTTCTAGAACCAATCTTGGCTCCCAAGCACCACTTGGCCGCCCGCCCCGTCCCATCCTGGCCCATGCAGGCCCAGACTCACCTTTTGTTGCTGACTGGGGACAAGGAGTAGGGAGACACATCGTTGCCATCGTCAGGGCTGGAGCGCTTGGTGCTGAGGGAATACTGGGGGCAGGGGAGGGCAGACAACAGCTGAGTGGAGCCTCAGTCTGAGCTCAGGGACCTCCCACTCAGAGCCCTGGTGCCCCTGCCCAGCTGGCGGCTGGGCAGGAGTGTGGGGTGCACACTGACCCCGGGGGAAGCACTGGCCAGAGGCATGGCCTGGGCTCCGGGGATCCAGAGAAGCAAACCAGGCCTCATGCCCGAGGCCTCTGGACTGTGACTTGCCAGTGTCCACCTCTCCACCCCCCCAGCCACCAGCCCCCCAGCCATCTCTCAGGAGACCCAAACAGGCTCTGACACCGCCCTGGGGCTGCCCCAAGGCTCAGGACCATGCACGTGAGACCTGCCCCAGGGCTGCCTTCGTGGCAGTAGTAGAGCAAACTCTTGGCTGGAGGCATGGGGTTAAGCGGCTCCCAAGGGGAGCTCGGGAGAAACAAGTGGGGAGGCCAAGCCGGGTGGCCTGGAGCAGTGCAGGCTGCCAGCCAGGAGGCAGCAGGCTCACCGTAAACAGACCCTTCTTCTCGGGCGTGGAAGGCTGCAGCCGGCGGTCCTCTGTCTGCGGGTCCTGCACCTTCTCGATGCCGGCTCCCAGCAGCTCGTTCTTCAGCAAGGCAGAGTAGGCCAGGCCGTCTGCGGACAGGGGCTCCATGAGGCCAGGGAGAGGCTTGGGGGGGGTGGCTGGGGCAGGGGGACCGGACTCCTGACCTTTGCCGTTGTCTGACGTGGCATCCTTGGCTTTCCGATTTTGGCTGGGGGACTTCTCATTCTCCTGTGGGAGGGAGGGAAAGGAGGCAGGGCCAGCTGGAGCAACTGCCCAGCTCCCCCCCCAGACCCCCTGCCCTCTGGGCAGCCCCTCACATTGATCCTGTGGAAATTCACGCTCCAGTTGGCACCAGCTCTGGAGGGGATGAAGCGGTCTCCATGCTTGCTGGGGGAGGACACGGGAGAGTTGGCAGGCGTCAGGGTTCGCCGCATCTCCGCAACCTGCAATGACGACAGGGCTGGTGCCTCAGAGCCCCCCAGCATGAAGTGCCAAGGTCAGCCTCTCCTCTCAGACCCGGAGGCTGGGCCTAGCCTGGCTCCTTGCACTCAGTCTCTGGCCACCAAACCAGGGGATTGATTTTGAGGTCCAGGAGGAGAGGTGAAATGGTAGGTGAGCCATGCGCTCGGTTTGGCATGACAGGGCTTTTATTTCCCAGCCATCACAAACAGCTGGAGAGGGGAAAGTACAGACCTAAGTCCCCTGACTCCCTGGGCACTGAGAGCTGCTGCCCCATCTCCATCAAACAAGGACGGTCCCTCCACAGAACCTCGACTCAGCAGAACCAGGAAGTGGGCACGGGAGTATAGCTCCCAGCCAAGCAGCCCACCCCTCTCAACTGTTGCAGGAATGTCCTTTCTCTCTTTTCTTATACTTTACTTACTTATTTGAAAGCAAGTGAGCACGGTGGGCGGTGGGGGGGGGGGGGCACAACTCTCCACTGAGCAGGGAGCCCTGACACAGGACTCAATCCCAGGACCCTGAGATCCTGACCGGAGCCAAAGGCAGATGCTAAGCTGACTGAACCACCCAGGCACCCCTGGAAGGTCCTTTTTCTATAAGGGATCTGCCGTGGGTTCAACTGTGTCTCCCAGAAGGACATGAAGTTCTATCCCCCAGCACCTGGGAAGTGACTTTATTGCAGGTGTAATTCAGTTAAAACAAGACCATCCTGGGGGCGTCTGGGTGGCTCAATGGTTGAGCGACTGCCCTGGGCCCAGGGCTTGACCCCGGGGTCCTGGGATCCAGTCCTGCATCGGGCTCCCTACAAGGATTCTGCTTCTCCCTCTGCTTGTGTGTCTGCCTCTCTCTGGGTCTCTCATGAACAAATAAATAAAATCTTAAAAAAAAAAAGACCATCCTGGAGTGGGATGGGCCCCAAATCCACACCTTGTGTCCTAAGAGTCAGAGACGCCAACACACAGAGAAGGGGACATGATGATAAGGCAGAGATGGGAGTGATGGCTCTGAAGCCAAGGACTGCTGGCCACATCAGGAGCTGAGAGAGGCAAAGGATGCCCCCACGGGGCCCCCAGAAGGAGCATGGCCCTGGGATACCTCGGGTGGAGCCTGACTGCCAGGCGCCGAGCTTAGAGAGTGCTGAGGGGAGCAGCAGGTACAGCCTGGGGCAGGTCAGGAGCCCAGGACACAGGTGGCATGGCTGAGAGGTGTGGGGCACAGGAAAGAGGCACCTCCAAACTCTGCTGGGTTCCTGCAGATAAGGACAGGGCCACCTCAGGCCACCATCACACCTCTGCCCGGTCAGGCGAGCCCCACAGCTCTGAGCCCCTGGGCCCTTCACCTCCTTCTCTGGAGACTGGGAGGGCAGCTCATGTCCCCTGGCCCCTTAGGCAGTCCCGAGCATGGCCCCACAGGAACAGAGGGGAAGCCGATGGTCCATGAGGGCTCCAGCAGCAGGAGGCACACTGGCAGCCCGGGGACTCCCTGGTGTGTGGCTGTGCCTCTCACCTGCCCAGCACCCCATTCCCTGCAGGCTGAAGCCCAGTGGCTCACTGCACCCCTCTAGCCCCCAACCGCGTGGAGCCAGGACTGCACCAGTGGGGCTGTGGTGCCAGTTACTCACGCAGGGCATCGTGTTCTCATTCTGAACAACAATCTGCCGCAGGAGGCGCCGCTCATACTCCTGGTCCATGGCGCCGCAGGGCAGGCACAGCCCGCCGGCCAAGGTCAGCAGGCCAAGGTCAGCCTGGAGCAGGAAGGACGGAAGAGGTCAGCACCAGTGAGGAGCAGCTCCCTCCACTGCCTGGTGACCACAGGAAACCCCGTGGTGACGGCCGAGTCCTTCTACCATGTGTAGGGCCTTCCTCCCAGGAGCCCAGGGTGCTCCCCACAGGCCAGAGAGGCCCCAGGGGGATGGGACGGGGAGGACCGGGACTCCTCTGAGGGACCATCTGCCAGACCTCCTGGCTTTGTCCTGGTTAGTGCAAGTCTCTCATCTATTCCTGGGCCACGGGGCTCATGCTGGGACCACCCCTCCAACCCATGCACCCCATCGTGCTGCCTTCCTGCTTCAGATCCTCGGAGGCCACAAGCTGCCCCCAGACCATGTCCAGCCCTGAGGTGGGGGCTGGACAAGAGCTACCATCGCAGCATGGATTCCTCCCTGAATAGGGCAGCCTCTGGGTCCTAATGCAAGAACTGGACCACAGTCCTCAACCTACAGGCACTTGTGTGTGCACAAGCGGGGTGGGACTCAGCAGCTCCACTCTGCTCCTGGCCAGTTTGCAGAGCTCACACCCACCTCCCACTGAATTCATCCCAGCTTGGAAGGCTTCTCTGAAGAGGAGTAAGAAGAGGGGAGGGAGGGAAGAATGTTCTAGAAGGAGGAACACATGGAGGCAAGAAAGGGCTGCGCGCAAGGGGGAGGGAGTAGCCACCTCTGAGAGGAGGATGCTCTTCGCCATGAGGCCGGACACCAGGCCCACTGCCAGCAGCTGCTTCCAGAAGCCAACATGAAACATTTGCCAGCCCTACCTCCCCAGAGGCACCACAGAGCCTCTGGAGGCTGATGTAAGACTTTGCAGGGACAGAGCCTGGCACAGAGGGGGCTCAGAGGACTGCAGCTTCCCCCAGTGCACCTGCTCTCTGGCCCAGACCCCCTGTGCACCCACAGTCACCGTCGCTGGGCTACTCTGGCTGGAGCCTGGGTCCGTGACAGGAAAACATCAAGTTAAAAAACAAAGGCTGGTCAAAAATTGTTAGTTTATGAATTCCAAGGTGTAACACCCTGGAGACATCAATACTGGCCTTTAAAAAAATTGTGGCAAAAGACACTGTAACCACTGTAAGTGCACAGCTCAGCAGCACGATCACACTGTCCTGTAACCACCCCCAGCATCTGTCTCCAGAACTTTCTCATCTTTCCCAAACTGAGACTCTGTCCCCAGGAAGCACGGACTCCCCGCTCCCATCTCCACGAGCTTCCGGAGAAGCCTCTCTCACACACACACAGCCACGTGCCCCATGAATTCCACTTGTAGGCACACACCCAGGAGGGAGGAAGGCAGACGCACGCCGGAACTAGTACTCTAACGCCCTGACTAGCACTACTCCTAGTAGCCACTCAGAAAAAGACTCCCCAGTGTCTGTCCACAGATGAAGGACAAACAGTGGGGGCCACCCACGCACTGGATGTTACTCAACCTTAAAAAGAAAGGACGTTCTGATGCCTGAGGACACTGCTCTCAGCGAGAGAAGCCAGACACAGGAGGACACCTCCTGTATGACCCCACTCATAGGGGGTCCCCAGAGGGTCCCGTCCACAAGACTCCTGAGAAAAGTACTAGCTTCACCTCACCCAGAAAGGAACAAACCTGGGTATATACCACTCGGCCCTCTCCAGGTGTGGCCACACCAGGATATACTGAGGCCGATCCAAGTCCCCAAACGGCCTCTCTGATGGGTTCCGGGGCCGGTGGCTGAAGGGCAGGCAGGAGCCAGTTCAGTCTTTGACCCTCACCTGCAATCATGGGACACAGAGGCCGGGCCTGACGTGGTCCAGGCCCAGAGCGGACACAGCCAAAGCCAAGCCAGCTGGACTCAACTCGGAGGCAAAAGAACACAGCCACCAGCCACCACGGTGTGTCCCACGGCTTGTACCATGTTAGCAGGCTCGCACATCTTAGCTGGGGCTCCCAGTGCATGGCCTCACAAACTGCGTGCTTGCACTACCGCCTCGTGCACATGGACATGTGATGGCTGAACGAGGGGCATCAACACCTCAGGGTCACGTGGGGGCAGGAAAAGGGGCTCCTGCCCAAAGGCCTGTCTGTGGCCACCGGCCCCCAGGGTCCTCCCTCCACTGGGCCTGGCGTTCCTCTGAGCTCCCCCGGCCTCCGTCCTCCCCACAGGGCCACAGAGTGGGCCTCCTGCTTGGTGAGCAAAGTGGGGCTGAGGCCCTCTGGCTGGGGTAAACCTGTGGGAACAGCCATCCCCTTCTTGGCCACCACCCCCCTTGCATGTACCCTGAATGCCCCACAGAGGTCCCCAGACTGGTTCAGCCCATTTGTCACTGAGTCCAGAAGTGAGTGATGGCTGTGTCCCTCACTTCTCTGGGGGTGAGACCCCTTTTCCCACCTTCCCCTTCCAGGCCAGCTCCACGTCGACCTACTGGTCTGCCCCAGGAACAAACCCCAACCACCGTGACCACTCCTGGGGCGGCATGCCCATACGAATTTCTGTCCAGGCCAGAGATGCCCATTCAGAAGACAGTCCTGAGAGTGAGGCTGGGCCACATGCACACCAAGGCTGAGCTCCAGGAGGCCAGCAGCCAGCCACTTTGAGGACTGAGAATTCCTTCCCAAGCAGGAGGAAGAGGGACCGGAAGAGGAGCAACCATGGCTCCATTCCGGCAAGTTCTACCATTGAGGGGTCCTCTCCCCTTTGCAGACAAGGAAACGAGGGTTAGAGAGGAAGCTATCTCCCTTGGCCACTGTGTGCAGAGTGAAGCCCAGCTGGCCCACCAGGCAGTGAGCCCTGGGGGGACCAGATGAAGGCCATGTGCAGTCCCTACGCTCAGGGGATGCCCCTCTCCGGCTCTCCCCAGGCAGGGCTGCTCAGGGCCAGGGGGCTTAGGGGAATGAGGAGCCTCAGCACGGGGAACAGTCACACCGTGCACTACGGGGCTCTAAACCTCTCAGCCCAGGTAGGCTCACTTCCAGTGGAATCCAGACCCCCTGCTCACAGAGCAAGGCCACCACCCTTATGTCCTCAGGTGACTCCCTGTGAGGACAGCAGGGCCCAGGAGAAACGAAGTGTCCAGAAGGCAAGACAAACCACAAATGGTTTTATTTAAAAAGACGACACAACCGGGAGAAATATGTGCCAGACGCGGGAGACACAGAGAGGTGCAGGGTGGGAGCGTGGCCTTCCTGAGAAAAGACGCCCACCCTCGCCAGCAGCTGGAGGGCAGCAGGTGCCCACCTCCAGCGCCCCCCCGGCCGCCCAGCCGCAGGGAGAAGGCAGGGTCACACGCTCCCCAGCAGGAGCTGAGAGCCGACTTCGAAGGACGGCAATTTGGCAGCTGCTTCCTAATTTTCAAACGCACATCCTTTCTGATGCAGTAGCTCTGCTTCTAAGAATTTGCCCGTAGTAGCTGTGTGTGCAAAACCACACGTCCAAGGACAGCGTCAGCAGGCTCGTTCCCCGCCAGGGGACAGGGCAGCCAGCGCGGCGCAAGCTCCCTCCGGGGGCTCGGGGCACATCAGGCAGCCCAGGTCAGCTGTGGGAGACACCGAGGGGGCAGGGGCCCGGAGCAGAGGAAGCCTGGTTTCCTCGGGTGCGGCAGCTTGTATTTCTTGGATTCTGCATCCCGTGAACATGTTCACCAAAGAAACAGGCCGGCGGGGGAGACGGAGCTGCGGGGCCCAGGGCTGGGGTGCGGCCAGCAGGGCACCCTGGCCTCTGCCCCTCAGACGAGAAAGTCCTCCTGATACAATACCCAACAGCCTGCGGTGATGCTTCTGTGAACGAGCTGTCATCTGCTCCCCTGCTCCACCCCCCAAGGCTGAGCCCGAGCTGGAAGGCAGCAGGGGATCTGGTGTCCAGGTCAGGTGAGGGGGGCCAGAGCCCTCGGCCACTCGCTGCCACTGTCCCCTCCACGGGGTACGGTCCCTGGGGTACCAGTGCACCTAGCAAGCCAACCTTTAAGAAGGGGGTCTCCTGTGGCAGCCCTGGTGGCGCAGCGGTTTGGCGCCGCCTGCAGCCTGGGGTGTGATCCTGGAGACCCGGGATTGAGTCCCGCATCGGGCTCCCTGCATGGAGCCTGCTTCTCCCTCTGCCTCTCTTTCTCTGTGTCTATGAATAAATAAATAAAATCTTTAAAAAAAAAAAAAAAGAAGGGGGTCTCCCCTTCTCTCGCAGTGGCCCCCGGAACAAAGAGCCAGGAGGCCCACCTTCTGCCCCTGCCTCAGACGAGCTTCCAACCTGCACGCCTGTTCTTCTGGGAGATGGCCAGCACCCCAGTCACCTCACAGGACGAGGAGGTTCCCACACAGCAGAAGCTAGAGTCTGCACAGGTCAGGGACTGCCCAGGTCCCCCGGGCTCCCCTCCGAGGCGCTGGCCATGTTCCTCACCCATCTGGGGCCTGAGAGCAGGCCCGTTCCCACCAGCAGCAGTGGAGCGCAGCCTCCGCAGCTCCCCGCTAGCCCCGACCTCGCCCAGACCTCGCCCAGCCCCGGGAGCGGTGCTCACGTGGCTTCCACCAACTGGGAACTCAGCAAGGATAGCTTACTCTAGGCGCGACCCAGTGGTTCTTGCTGGGACCATCCTCCTTCCCCAACCCCCAGGGGACACTGGGTGGTATCTGGGGACATGTGTGGTTGTCACGACTAGGGTAGTCCTGGCATGGAGGGATGGGGCCGGGGACACCCTCTCAGAGAGTGGTCCGGCTGGAATGTTCACAGTACCCGGCAGACCTGCTCTGGGACCGGGCCAGGGAGGCCAGCAAATGAGGGAGATGATGAGACATGTGGCTGAGCCTGGCGTCAGCAAGGACCAATGACACAACATGTGGCACTTCCACCTGCCTCCCAGCCTCCCGGAGCAGGGTGTAGCCACGGGGGGCATCACAGGGGCACTGGCCTGGACACGTAGCAGTCCCCTCTCCAGGCCTGGGTGCAGCACAGGCCACATCTCCTCCCAAGTTCGTGCTGGGCCCAGGACGGAGCACTCTGCTTCCAGAAGCGCTCACCAAATTTCAAGTTCTCGAAGGTCCTGTTTATCTCGAAAAACCGGTCCCTCCTGGGTTAGAAGTTGTAAGGCTCTTCAGTAAGCCAAAAGAAAGGAAATGTCCCCACAACAGGGCTTTCATGACTTGGTGTTTGAGGATGACCTTGGCCTGGGTGTGGCTACCTATGAAATAGAGTACACCAGAGGCTCTTCCCATTGTGACGACCACATGTCCTTGACACCACCGGGTGTCCCCTGGCAAACTGTCCTGGGTGAGGGTAACTCCAGTTTCTGTGGGAGAAGCCATCTGCCAACAGGTCGAGGTCAAGTGGCACCTGGTATTACCCACACGGGTATGAAGGAGCCTGTGGACACACACCCTGCCACGTTCCGTGTGGGCACAGGGCCCCAAATGAACAGGATACCACTCTTGGCCCCTTTCACAATGACAGCAGCAGATCCTGCCCCCACCCTTCCCCGGGCCAGCATAGCTCCAGGTCCTCTACTTAATTCCTCCCCCAGGTGCAATGCTATCTCCCTTCCACAAAGGAGGAACCGGCTAGGAGCACCCGTAGCTGCTCAGATTATGCTGCTGCCCCAGCGGGAAGAGTCCCCAGGCCCAGCCCCGGAGCCAGCTGCTTGAAGATCAAAGGCCTGCTCTGGATTGGGGCATCACATCATACCACATGTGAATATTTGCTAGTGGCTTCTCGCAGGAACCATCCACCAATAAGGAATATACTGGTAAATGGCTATGGGTTCCCTGGGAACTGCCACCACAGGGCACAGTCCATCACAGGACCCCTGAACTCTCCAGAGGAACGTGCACCTGAGAGATCCACAGGCAGAGGCTGCCAGAGACCCGGGGGCAGCTCTGGGTGCTCCCACACTACCGACTAGCAGCCCTTTCCTCCTGAGAAGACTGGAGCGTCTTGCCGGGGCCCCAGGAGGTGGTCATATTCTTCTCAGCTGGTCTCTAAGAGGTTGGGGAAGTAGCACATGAGAAAGATCCAACGAGAAAAAGGGGGAGCTGTTCCATCTTCTGCTCACATGGGAGCCTCTGGCTTTGCTGCTTCTGTCTCGGCTCAGGCAGACTTGTAAGCAGCCCTCACAGCATCCCCCCCAACACACACACACACACACACACACACACACACACACACAAAACCAACACCATACAGTCCTAGAAAGGTCTATCAGATAAAGATAAAGGAGAGCTTCAGAAAAGGGCAGACCTGGCTTTGAGTCCTGGCTTCAACTCCTACTGGCCCAGCAGCTTCTCTCTGAAGTGGGTTAAAGGGATATGGCCACCTATGTTGCTATAAAACTGGGCGGGGCTTCTGTGAAGCAGCCAGCAGTGTGCCTGACCCAGAGGAGAGGCTAGGAAGTGGTGGCTGATCCCAGGGGCTCGGTGACAGGAGCACAACAGACCCCAGATATGCCTGCCTCCTGCTCCTCTGTCGGCAGCGTGTGCGGTCTGTGGCACAGGGAGGTTCCCCGGCGGCCACGGCTGCTGCTGTCCAGTGAGGAGCTGGCCCTGCTGCAGGCTGGGTGGCCAGGTGGAGCCCCTTCTCCTCCCTCACTGCCCCTGCAGGGGAGAAGAATGGATCTCTCACAAGAGGGAAGACTACGGTCAGTAAGAGACGTAGAGCCATGTGATGGAGGGCTGGCCGTGGCCTCCAGACCTCAACTAGAATGCCGGCTCCTAGGAGCCCAGTAGTTGCTGCACAGAATGGGATTTTTGAAGAGGGAGGTCCCCCTGGCAGAGGGAACGTGATGAGCTCGTGGTCCCTCACCTCTCAGTATAGCAAAAGGCAAGGCCTGGAAGAGCTGGCATCTAAATGGTACCTAACACAGGTGCTCCTGACACAGGTGACAATGTGCCTCCTCTGGGGGGCTGATGTGAATCACCACGAGAGGCAAGTTGTTTCTGGGGAGGCCAGAAGGGGCTGGTGCCTGAGGAGCAAGTTCTAGCATGCATTCACTCAGCGAATGCTGACCCCCCCCCCCCAACTCTGTGCGGGCAGGCCCTGGGCTGATCAAGGAGTCCTGTCCAGCAGGGCTGGCAGTCTAGAGGATGTGGCTTTCTGGAGCAAAGGCTCTCCCTTTTTACTCTGTGACAAGGGTCATGAGAGCACACACCTGGCTCCCCAGGTGAGCACTGCTGCTCTAAGCCTCAGAAATGGGCCCAAGGTCAAGCCACTCATCTCCCAGCTCTCGGCACTGCAAGGTACCCATTCCCCAGTGTGACGTGGTGAGACATCTGGGCCGCAAGGGCGTAGGGTCCACAGCAGCCCAGAGGATGCAAACCCCCACGCAAAGGAAAGAAACTTGGCGATGGCACCTGAACGATGTATGCTCACTTATGTGACTGCAGCTGTGGTTTACGTCAGAGGGCCAGATCTCAAGGCTGGACAGGCCTTAAAGGCTTCAGAGTGAACCCCCTCACGACCGCATCTGCTTGCACACCTGCAGGGACAGGGAGTTGACCCCCTCAGGGAGCCCTGAGCATCAGAAAGTGCCTCCTCAATTGGTCTCACCATGGATCCCACTTCCAGGTCCCAGGTAAGGACAGAAGGAAACCCTAAAACCTAGTATGCTTTAGGCAGGGAACCCCAACCACCCCTGCTGACACTGCGGCCCCATCCTTCTCTGTGGGCAGCCATCACGGGCACCACAGGGGGCTGAGCAGCATCCCTGGCCCCCACCCACTTGATGCCAGAACACCCCCAGTACGATAACCATAAACATCGCCAGACGTTGCCTCCAGGAGAGAAACCCTGCTTTACGGGGATCCTTAAGGGGAAGAGTGGCTTCCCTCAGGCTCAGTAGACCAGCGCGGACCTTTCTCTTGCTGTTCAGCCTTAAGTGCAGACAGACAAGTCCCAAGAAGCAGTCAGACCCTCTCTTGCTCACTCCATCCTCTCCCCACCCCACCTCCCGCCCAGCCAGTGTCTCCTTTTTTCCCCATTATTGTAGGACACTATGCAAACAGTCTGTCCCATGTAAATCAGTGGTTCCTTTCCTCTGGAAAGAGAATATGCAAAAAGGCACCGGAATCTGGAAGGAATGGTCTGCTGCTCTAGAGAACTGCACATGTCTAGGGAGGCTGGGTGTAAGGAGCACGCTGGAGGCAGGAAGAGAGAAAGGAAAGGCTGGAAGCACAGTCTACCAGGCCGGGCCGTGTCCTGGGGCCAGTGGCAGGGAGGTGGGGCAGGACAGGGAGCCAGGAGTAGCAAGAGATGTGCCTCTATGGACCAAAGGTGGGGTCACGTGGAAGGGAGCACTGGGGAGCAGGGGGACCAGACTGTGCCTGCCCAGTCCAGGTGAGGAAGCAGGTGAACCTGAGAGTAGGGGGCAGAGAGGATGGCCCCAAGTGAGGCTGGGGTGGGGAAGGTGCAAGGAAAGAGTGGCCTCTTCTGGGCTAACTCAACCCGGGAGCCTGCAGGACAACCAAACAACGACTGGCACCGGCCACATGGGCCTGGAGTTCTGGAGCCAACCTCAGGCACCAGCAGCAAATGAGGACAGGAAGCTAAGTGTGCCCGCCAAGAAAGCATGTGGAGAGCAAACAAGCATCTGGGTTCAAATCAGAAATAAGGGTCGCCACATGAGTACCTGTACTCAACTGTTCGTAGAGGCTGTATCTGTAACAGGTAATAGGTGGCAACAGCCCAAGTGTCCAGCAACTGGCAAGTGGAGAAGCATAATGTGTCCCCCCACACAGGGGCAGATCACTGGGCCACGAACAGAGGCAAGGTGCCCACACGCTGTCCCAGGGACGGGCCCTGGGTCCATGACACTCAGGGAGGGAACCAGACACAGGAGGCCCCACAGTGTGTGAGTCCACGTGTGTGACACATCCAGGACAGGCTCATCCACGGACGGGGAGGGGGCTCGTGGGGCCGGAGGCTGGGGAGGGTATAGAACTGATGCATAATGGAAAGGTTTGTTCGGAATGATGAGAATGCTTTGGAATTAGTGGGGATAGATGCAAAAGCTGAAGACCACTGGCCTATGTACTTTAAATCGGTGAACCATATGGTGCGGGAATTATATCTGAATAGATCTATTACCAACAAAAATTCAGCAAATAAATAATGAAAAGAAGGGCCAGTGAAGGAGTCTGCTCACTGGCAGGCAGGTATACGAAGCCACAGAGAGTGGAGTCCACAGTCCACTTTTGGGGGGCAGGGGTCATTTATTAGGCACGATGGTTGAGGACTGAACCACTGGTGGGACACACCCTGTGCTCCTGTACCAGTCTCAAGCGAGGAAGCCATAGCAGGAGAAATTAGTCACTTGCCAAGGATGCATGGCTGCTGGGGACACGAATGTCCCCCATCCAGAACGTCAATGCCACATGAGAAGGAGCTCTGGTTGTATGTGGAGTCCCAGCGCTCAGCAAAAGGAGCTGCAGGACGCATCTGGCTCAACACAACCCCCCCCACACACACACACACCTGTGGCTGCTCTGCACACACCAAATCTCAGGCAGGTGCAGTGAGAGGTAGCCAGGGCGGTGACCAGTGGACTTGACAAGCCGGAGGCTACTAGGGCCTGTGAGGGACCAGAAGCTGGATGGTGGGAAGCAGCTGGGCAGAAGAGGGGCAGCCTAGTAGTCCTTTCCCAGCTCTCGAGGCCTCTGGCTCCCTGTGCCAACTCCCAGAAGGGGCCAAACGCACCCTATCCTCGGGCCACTCCCGCCCTCGAGCACCCACTCAGGCAGTGCTCTGGAGCTCCAGCCTTACCAGGCACTATGCAGGCCCTGGGGAGAGTCCCTGCCCTCAGAGGGCTCTCGGTCTCAACCCAGGCCCAAGTCTCCCCCCTGACACTGTGGATATTTGGGGCCATCCTGAGCACTGGGCGGGGAAGGGGGGGCAGCATCCCTGACCCCACCCACTCGACACCATGAGCAGCCACAGTTGTGATCACCACAGATATCCCAGACAGCACCAATGTCTCGGCTTGAGAACCTCTGTTCCAGGAGAGAGTTACGATGGCACTGCCATTCTGCTGGTTCCTAAAAGACCAAGTCCCTTGATCTTGACACCTGACATGGGTCCCCAGGATCAGCCCTCCAAAAGAACGATCCGGGATCCTCGCCTGGCTCGGTGCTACCAGGCAAAAGGTCCCCACACCCATCAGGCCAGAGGCCCCAACCGAATAGCACGGGGAGATCTCCTGCTGAAAGAGAGGGCCTGGTGTGAGAATGGAGGCAGACCGGCTTCTGAAGACTCACCGCCTCCCCAGCTGCCTCCCAGCACTTCTCCCCTGGCCCCAAACAGCCACCACCACCGGCTGGGCCCCGGGGTCTGAGATTTCCCCAGAGAAACAGTCATGGGAGCCTGAAGAGGCAGCCCGGCTAGCTCCCCGGACACTGCCCACCACCCAGCAAAGCAACTGTCCTTTGAACCGAGAGCCATCCACGGGCCAGAAGCCTGGTGTGCAGAGCGGGAGAGCCCATCACCCTCCCTAAAACGCTCCTGGAGCAGTGGAGCCCCGCTCACTCGGCACTCGGCGCAGCACCCTGGGCTCGGAAGGCAGCCAGCCAGTCTAGTACTCCTGAGACGGAAGGGACCCTGGACCTCAGAGGCCACGACGGCCCACGGGAAATTCTGGACGAACAACAGCCTAGGATGCGTTCTAGGGGACAATGCCCCGCTCTGAGGATTGTCCCCAGATCCCATCAGCCTCTAGTGTGCAGATCCCCGCCCTCCCCGGGGAGACCACCCGACCTCCTTCATTTCAAAGATCCTCTCACCTGTCCCCGATTTGGGCTAAGGGAAACACCTGTGTATGTTGCGGTGGCCTGTTTCTCCTTTGGGTAAATCCTCCCCCACTGAAGGTACGGGAAGAAGTTGGGGGGGGGGGAGGCGAAGGGGGAGGGTGCAGCCTCACCCACGGGAGGCATGAGGTCATCACTCCGCGGATGGGAGTGAAAGCAGGAGGACTAGTTCCCTGTAGGGCGGGCAGCTGAAAGAGGGGATGATTTCTCGCGGACGAGGACGCAGGTCTGGGCCAGGCAGGTGCACAGGGGCGGGCCTCCCGCGTGGGGCTGGACTGGGGGTGCAGGGCCAACGGGTGGGGGTGGGGGGGCATGGCTGTGATGGGAGCAGCACTCCACACTGGGGGCTCCCGGGAAGAGCCCTGGGATGACAGGGTGGCTGGGCGGAGGCGGGGGTCCGGGCCCCCACGGAGAGCTGGACTCGGGCGGGCTGGCGGCGCGGGGGGCGCACGGGGTCGCCTCGGGGTCTCGGGGCCGCAGGGCGGGGGGAGGGGGCGAGCCCCGCTGGGCCGCGACAGCCACGGGGGCAGCCTCGGTCGGGGCAGGGCTGGAGGAGGCCCGGGCTGGGCGCTTCTCGGGGACAGCTCGGCCGCGCCCTCACGAGCGGGGCTCGGGGGCTGCCGGCGGGGGGGCTCGGCCGCAGGGGGCTCGGGAGGGGCGACGCCGGCGGGGCGATGCGGAGGTCACCCGGGCCCGGCGCGGCCCGGGGGGCGGCGTCCGGGGCCGCCGGCTCGGAGTCAGGGGTCCCGGGTGGGCCCGCGCCGCCGTCCGGCCCCGCCCGGCTCGGGGTGGGGGGGCCGCGGCCCGGGCCCGGGGGGCGGGTCCCCGCCCCCGCCCCCGCCCCCACCCCGCGGCCGCCTCACCTGGCTCGCTCCGGTCGCCCGCTGGCTCCGCCGACCCCGCCTCTCCCGGCGCCGCGCCGGCCTCCGCCGCCCACCGCTGCACCGGCCGGGCCGCGACCGCCGCCGACGGGACCCCGGGCTCCGCGCTCCTTAATATGGCGGCGGTCGCTGTTCCGCGGCCTCCCGGAGCCCTCCTCCGCCGCGCGCGCTCCCGCGGCCGGCCACGCCCCCGCGCCGGCGCGCTGCGTGCGGCCGCCACGCCCCGCCCCCCCGCGCGCCCGCGCCGCGCGCCCCGCCCCGCCCCCCGCGCGACTGCGCCTGCGCGCGGCGGGCATCTCGGGAGGACGTGACGTAGCCCGCGATTCGAATCAATACAGGAAGCGCGGCGCCAAGCGTTGCCACGGGCGACCGGGGCGGGCGGGGTCCCCCGGGCACGGCTGTGCTTCCTTTAGGTCGTGGGTCCGAGCGGGGGACAGGCTCGGGCGCGGGCACTGAAGGGCAGACCCTTCCCCCCGGGCGGGCGCGCCCCACAGCAGGTGCACGTCTGGGTCGGGCCGACCCCGCTGCCCCCGCGGGACGGTGGTTCAGTCCGCGGACTGCGCTCGCACCCAGCGCTGGCCCAGGGGAGGGACAAAAATCCCTGCCCCCCACATGGGCAGAGCATCCAGACACTTTCCAAACAAAATAGGTGGTCGATGACGGGCACTGAGGGGGGGCACTTGACGGGATGAGCACTGGGTGTTATTCTGTATGTTGGTAAATCGAACACCAATAAAAAAATAAATTTATCTAAAAAAAAAATAGGTGGTCGAGAAGCTCGGAGAAGTTGCTCACCAGCGTGAGTCATCAGGGACATGCAATCAAAATCACAGGCGGGGCGCCTGGGTGGCTCAGTGGGTTAAGGGTCATCGGCCTGCTTCTCCCTTTCCCTCTGCCCCCCCCCCCCAACCTGCGCGCTTTCTCAAGTAAATAAATAAAAAACAAAACAAAACAAAAAAACAGGCACCTGGGTGGTTGGATCAGTGGTTGAGCATCTTGCAGTGGTTGAGCATCTGCCCTAGGCCCAGGTCCTGACCCCGCCTAGGGCTCCCCCGCAGGGAGCCTGCTTCTCCTTCTGCCTGTGTCTCTCTGCTTCGCTCTGTGTGTCCCTCACTAATAAAATATTTAAAAAGTAAAGAAGACAACCACAGTCTCACTCCTGACAGGGCAGCTCTGATAAAAAGACAACACCAGGAAAAATAACAAGTGTGGGTGAAGCTGCAGA